GTCCCTGGCTACCATGGCTTCGGGCTGTCTCCCCTTACCCTCCACCAAAACTCCAGCCTTCCTCAAAATATCGACTGTGTTGTTCACAACCTCGGGCTTGACACCCTCCACGCCATCCGTAAATTTGACCGTCTTCAGCCACTCCCTGGCATCCGCCTCAGAGTAATCCAGATGGGTGCTAATATACTTGACAGCCTCATCCTTGTTCTCATTGAAGTGCTTCACGCCCTTGTCAAGCTTCTCGAACAGATCCTTGATCCTCGCGTCGAGCTTCTGACTGTCCTTGGCCAACGCCGTGGACGCGACAATCTTCCAGCTGCTCCAGGGCGTGTAGATCTCGCCTACACGGCGGATCTCACCCGAGTCGTAGTAGCGCTTGGAGGTGAAGTGCTCCCACATGAAGAAGTCAGCAGCGCCCGAGTTAACGGCGTTGCGGAGGTTCTCAAAGTTGTTGAGAATCACCGTGTCAGAGAACGGTGCCGGGGTGGACGGGGTGAGCCAGCCGTGCTGGTCGGCGAGGACGAAGCCCATGATCTGGCTGCCGGAGCCGATGCGGGAGACGCCGATTTTGCCACCCTTGAGGGAGTCTACTGAGGTGATTTCGGGGCGCTTGGCACCGGTTGAGATGGCCCAGCCTGTTGGTTACTATGTCAGTAGTTTTCTGAGAAGTTGGCCTTGTGAACCTACAGAGGGGCGTGTCAACATAGGTGCCGACGAGACGGTAGCCGCCATCCCCGGGGGCGTCTTCCTTGCCGAGGCCGGCGATCCAGCCTTCTGTCAGCCCAATACCAACGTCGATTTCGCCGCCGCGAATGGCCGTAATCATGTGTCCCGTTCCGGAGGGGAAGGGAACCAAGGTGGCATCGAGGCCGAAGTGCTCCTTGGCAAAATAGAGGGGCGTGGAGAAGTGCTCTGGCACGTAGCCAATTCTAAGAGGTGAAGCCATGTTTGATGATTCGACTGAGAAGAGGGTGAGAGAGTGAGTCAAAGCAAGCCTGTGATGAGTTGTAGAACTGGAAGAATAGAGCGGAAGCGGGACTTTCGAGAGTTGCGAATCTCGGGCCGGGACAGTGAAGCGGCCGATGACTGTACACCTCAGTGACTGAGTGAGTGCGGGGTCCTTTCCACTGCTTTCCAGGCTCTGCGTGTCAGCGCCGTGGTCCGTCCACCGGTGCAGAACTCAGCGGGGCCGCAGTGGGACGCCCGGCCCTCACGCCGGGGCGGCCTCAGTCTCTCTCATTCTCAATCGACTCATTTTCTATTGAACCTTTTCATGAGATGAGACTCGCTTGGAGCTATGGCAGTCCTCTACTACGAGCAGTTATATCAACACTCAAAGGATTCAAACGCTTGACACTTGCGGTCGCGGAGCATAAGATGTGAAGGTTTTCAGTTGGGATTAAAGGCTGCGATGATGAACTTAGAAATGTCTTGGCCGCGGGATGCTGACAAGCGGCAACGACATCCGAACACTTCTGTTAACTACAGAGCACTGAATTCTGCGAGTCGTACAAATTTACTGAGTTCCACGCATAATCACGTCAGCATCTTCTTCCCAACACATATTCGTCCGGAACTGTTCTCAAGCTTCAGATTCCTCGAGTCACGAATCTAACCCGCAACCCCAGACTTCTGACGCTGAACTCTTTCTTGCCAACACAAGTAAAATAAAACGCTGAGCTTGTTAGGCTTGTCCGGACTTTGGCCATCCTGGGCTTGGTTTCGTTAGGAGAGGTGGTTGAGGTCGATGTCAGCAACATGTTGATGACAAACTGGTCCTTGGGTCAGCCATCAGGTAGATGTTCCGTATCTGATCATGCCAATGGCCTGCGTGTTGATTCTATTGCCGCAAGAACTTGGGTTAGGAATATGTCTTTCCTGACAACTTTTTTGCAGGATCACTATTATCAGTCACAAAGTCTAACCCATTTGAGAAATACGTTTTGCATTACTTCGTAAAGGCATAGGTGACTTCTTCATCACAAGCACAAAGGTGTACCAATATCGCCGCTGATACCTATCAAGTGCAGTTAAGAGTTGAAGGGGAAAGCTTTGTTTAACATAGCCGTTTCTCTGCATCGCCCTATAGGTGTGTTTATGTCACTTTCAGCAGAGACTGCAAATGTAATCTCAACAATACTTTGCGCCCATTTCCCACACAGAGAAGCCGTCATGATGTGCAGGGAACGTTCAACTGTAACTATTCCAAATTCATGACTAGTATACAAAGCAAGCCACGTCTCCCGGCCATGGTCTGTTCACGCAGTCTACGATCCCTCCTCTACGTCCAAAACCAGCAACCTTTACTTGCTCCGCTCTACATTGACGTAGTCTAAAACTCGGTATACCTTAGTAAAACCAAACGGGAAACGTAAACGCTAGTCACGTGTTTTTCCCAGCAGCACAAAGTTCGACTCGAGTTGAGGAGTGCAATCTACACATCACAAAGCCTTTCCTACTTCACACCGATTCGACAGCAGCTGATTTATTCCATCGCCAAAACCCCAGACTCCTGAATGGCATTGCAAGATGATGATCCTCATGAGAGACAGAATGAGACTGCCGACCTAGGGCAGTACCTCTCAGATGCCTATGGACCATGTCTTTGCGAGCCGACTCCTTCCACGACAGGCTGCCATCACACGAACATATTCGGTCCAAGATCCTCCCCGGGAAGACCTCAGCTAAAGAGGGGTCAGGAGAACAACGTCCTCATATACTCGGGCTGCTTCAATCCGCCGCACCTGGGCCATTACAGTCTCCTCCGACGGGCATTCGAAGGCAGCCAAGATCTCAACGTCATCGCTGCCGTCGTTTATCCGGTCAGCACGAGAGTACTGGAACGCAAGGCCGAAAGAAGGCAGCAATGGCTCATGTTCAACATGGCCGACCGCGTACGACTTTGGCACGGTGACTCGAATGAGCCTCAGTAGTACTGGACTCACGACGGCGGCAGGCTCAAGTTTGAAGATATGTGGAGTCGTGTTCTGGGAGCAGTCAAGCGAGACGGCTTCGATCTCAAGTTCATTGAGGTAGCAGGACCTGATCACGTCGTTCCCACGCGTGTATTCAAGCCGTTTGAGTGGGATTTCGGAATCTACAGAACTATCTTGAGCAATGCTGGAAGAGAGTCTGATCTTCTTCAACCTGGAGGGCAACTCGAGAGAATGCGTGGATATGGGTATTGGGAAGATGCCATCGACTATACCAAAGCTGCGAATCCAAAAAACGACTATCCAGACTCGAAGCACGATATGGTCGAGGACATGGAGCGAACCATTGTCAGCAAGCCTCGCTTTACGCTACCCTCACCCCCATCGACCGTCGGGGCAAATACACAGCCACATGAAGGTAGATGGATCAGTTTTACAATCAAAAGTACGAAGACATACGCTAACAAGCACATGTATGAGTGGATGGTCGCATCCCAGACACGGACAACGAACCAGTCGCAGCCACCGACGCTCTCTCTGAAAGACGCATATCAGAAAACGATGCTGGTTCATATAAGATGACGGAACACGGAAGCAACATTATTGTTCCCGAGGGACGGAAAATCAAAGTTTGCCGACGAATTGGCGACTCGGAAACTTGGGTTCGCTTCGTTCCAGCGGATGCCACGCCCTTGACATTCAGCTCGACCCGGATTCGGCGTATTCTGGAAGGAGGCTTTCCGAAAGATGGGCATTTGACGGGAATCAGTTGGACGCGAAGTATGCTGGAGGATGAGACCCTTGATAGTGTCAAGGAAATGGTCCTGCATCCGGAGGTGCTGGCAAGGATTATGCTTCAGCGACATGGAATTCAACGGCTTGACGAGGCTTGACTGGAGATTGGATTGAGCTTGATCAAATAGGCAGCGGACTTGAGCAGGCAGGATTATTGAAGTCTCTCCTAGTAAAACGTTGGTTAGATATCCACAAGCTGGCACCAACTTCATTCGAGATAGCTCTTCCCTCGAATTCATGACACTGCTATAAGAATGCTTCGATCGATTTTCTTTTCGGTTTTCTCCATTTACTTAGATAACTACATGGTTCTAGCTGATGACAGGCCATTTCATCGTAGACGAGAAGCACATCCTTGGTTCATTTTCGCCCTTCTGAATACCGACCAGAATCAAGTTCGCATCCCAAGCAAATCTCAATACAATGGGAGACACAGCCCTGTCCCGAACTCAAGCCCATACGATGAAGCCAACCAATCTTTCAAGCTTTTCTAGTTAGTAGACCATGACAGGGCCACGACCTTGTCTCCGTTAACCAATGCTGCTTTTCTAGCGCTTATCTACAGCAGATTTCTTCCCACCCGACTTTTGATGAGGTTGCAAAAATATCGAGCAGAACTCTCTTGCATAAGATATTTCAATCAGGAACAGCGGCGAATACTCATAGCATTAGATCAGTCCGTTTACAAGTTGATGTGTGGTCTATCAAATTCCTTGCCTTCAATGGCCTATCACCACCAGGTGAGGAATCGAAAACCTCGATTACCAATTGCATGTCCCGCAGAAACCAGGCAAAACCACTTAACTTCGATGTGTCTACGAACGTCACAAATTCTATGCAGAAGTATGAGCATGCCGGCTCGATTTGATCATGCCTTCAAAATAGGGCAATTCACATGGAACGTCATCTTAAGTTCCATAGCAGTGACCGTGATCGACAACAAGAACACGGGATTGAAATAACTGGGACATTCCCGTCTGGCTCGGGCGCACATAATCAGCTTCTCCGGCAAGGCTTCGAGTTGGTGAAATGGATAAACTCGTTATAGGCCATGTCCTGCAGTAGCGTAATCAATAGTCAACAGCTGAAAGCCAGATGCGGAAATATTAAGAGACAGGCCCTAGTCGACGAGCTGGCAGCCCTACAGTTTTGGAGTAACGGCAGCACATAAAAGGAGGACCCTGCCGATAAACACCATTTACTGATTGTGCATGGGCTTCCCTTGTGTTTGCCTCAATAGCCGCGGCCTTCGTCCCAACAATGACGGCAACCATGCCTTCCGTGCCGCTTTTGCCGGATCAGCAAGACATTGCTGAATTCAGTTATACAAACGACAAGGTAATCCTTCCCTCGGCATCAACTCACATCAGACTTCTCGAACTCTATCCATCGACACACGGATTTGACGCCGCATCCGCATCCGCGTCCGGAGCACCCAGTAATACAGACGAAGTTGATTCTGACAACGCGTCGTCTCACTACTCGAACCCTCTCAAATGCGCTCTCTCGACGACCCCGATCGCCACGCCGCGGCTATACAAAGCGCTGTCATACACCTGGGGCACATCGAGAGCAACTCACAGCATTGACATCGAGGGTGCGAGCTTGCTCATCACGGCCTCGCTCGACACAGCGCTGCGACATATTCGTCGTAAAGATGAGCCCGTCACGCTCTGGATCGACCAGATCTGCATCAACCAGGAGGATGGTGCGGAGAAGGGAAATCAGGTGGCCCTCATGACCCAGATCTACACCAAAGCAGAACAGGTCATCGTCTGGCTGGGTCCGGCAGAGAACAACTCTGATGCCCTTATGGAGTGTTTGCAAGAGATTGGACAAGAGGCTGCTGACCTGAACATCGAGAGCTACCTCACCAAGGAGCGACTGCCGCTGCTGCACAGGATCATGAGAAACGAGAACCCAGAAGACCCAGTGACTATGCAATATCAGCCTCTAATGGCCAAAGCCGTGGCCAAGTTCAGACCCCTCCTACACGAGATGATTGCCTGGAACGAGAGGGTGTGGTTCACTCGGGTCTGGATCATCCAAGAGCAAGCTCTCGGTTCCGACCCATTCTTCCTCTGCGGGTATAAGACAGTAAGACTGGACCTGATTCCTCTCGCTACTCTCGTCTGGGACGGGTGCATGTCAACGCTCAGCGTGCCGACTGAAACCAGCGAGTTCAGGCAGCTTCTGCTCAAGGCCCAACAACGACGTTTGAGTCCTTTGATGTCCCTGAGACGTAGGCGCCGGAACTTCGTGAAGGGCATAGGACCGGGAGATGACTTCTATTACGTATTGAAGAAGGCGTACGTCGATGGGGCCGCCCAAGTGACCAATATTCGAGATAGAATCTACGGTTTGCTCAGTATTGCCAATGACGCGGATAAATTAGGGATTACGCCAGACTATGTCACCGAGGATAGCCGACCCACCTTCATCGACGCAGCTCATGCTCTCATTCGTGTTGGCCGTCTGGAGATGCTCTCATTCTCGCAGTCCCCAAAGGACATTGAAGGATTACCATCCTGGGTTCCGGACTGGAGGCCGACCCTAGAGCATTCTTACTTGTACGCATTCGAGGATGCAGACAAGCGCATTTTGCAGGCTTCAGGCGAGACCTCGACTGAGCTTGTGCCCACGGACAATCGCGGCGTGCTCGGGATTCGTGGTATCCTCGTTGACACCATCGAAACAACAGGTGACGCGTGGAGGTGGGAACAAGGCCAAGAGAGCCGCTACAAGCTTCTCCAGACTATCAAAACCTTGTGTGAGGAGGCAGCTGCAAAGGGGTTTAGCCACGAGATTTACGAAAATAGTGACAGACAGGCGGAAGCCATGTGGCGGGTGCCCGTGGCAGATCTGTACTGGAACGAAGGGGCTGTCTACAGGTACCAACGACCCGATCCAGCCGTCAGAAGCGACTACGAGGATTGCATGCATTGCCACAAGATGCTCTCCCTGACGTTCGAGGTCTTTCCCCCAGAGGAACGTCAGCAGCTTTTGGACGAGTTCAGCAGACGAATTCCGGGGCAGTCTAATTACAGTGAGAATATGGACAAAATGACTGGGAAGCGCCCATACATGACGCAGAAGGGATACGTGGGCATGGGTCCGGGCGAGGCATGCCCGGGCGATGTGGTGGTGATACTGTTCGGCTCTCGGATCCCGTACGTCCTGAGACCGTCCGGAGACGGGACGATGTACTGTTTCGTAGGAGAGGCATATTGCGATGGAGTCATGGACGGCGAGTTGTTGACTAAGCGGGAGAAGACGACGTTTCTGATTGCTTGAGTCGGCTGGTTGTCCTATCATAAGAGGAGGAGAAGAGGGGGAGAGGACACGTCTGAGAGTTGGATGGGAGGCAAAGAAGCGCTCGAGCAGCAAAGTTTTGTTTTATCTGGGGTACTCGTCGAGTGTTTCCTCTAAAGGTGTTCTGTTCGACCGTCCGATCTCTATGTGAAAAGTCTATGGAAAGAAAAGCCAGTTCCCCCAATGCCCGCCGTGATGTGTGATGGTATGAATGCAATCCGTGAGATACATCAATGAGAAAAATGAGAGATAAAGGGAAATAGTCAAGTAGAGACTGAAGGGTATTTCAAAAAAGTGAAAAAAGAATCCAATTTGGAATTGTGCGCGCTGCTTTTTTTGCACGCTGATGAGATATGCTGCCCCAAAAATGATTAAACTCCTTTCGCTCGGCCAGAGCGGAAATATTGCCAGAAACCTCCCAGACATTCGTCTGGCGCTATGAACATTGAAGCATGAACAGTGAGCCAACCCTGGCCCAAGACTGCGCAAGTACGAATCCGTGTGCGGAAGCGCGTACTGCGATGAACCCTGCGATCGAGCCGCAGGCAACCCGTGTCCCAAACAGTCCCCCTCTCTCTTCTCTCCTCCGCTGTGCCGTGAATTTGCTCAGTGGTCGTTGTAGTCCTCGTCTCTCATGGTGTACATGATGTCTTGGATAACGACCGCCCTGATGTGGTGGTACAGAACGAAGCAGTAAGCTCCCAGTAGACAGACACTCATTCCTGTTGCGAACCATTTCACGGCCTCGTTGCCCAGTTGGTTGGCGATGGTGATGGTGGCGAGAGTGAAACCGGTGTTGGGGAAGACCATGGCCCACCAACCCAAGTGGAAGTAGACAGGCGGAGATGAGATGACGGCGATGGTAGCGATACCAAACCACCAGGCAGCCAGGGCCCACAAGAAGATGGCGCTCATGAGAGCAATGGTCCTGATGATGCCAGCGTCGATGATGATTCCATCGCGGTCGGGGTCGAGGTTGTTGGGCAGTCCGTTGGCCATGCCGATGAGAGCGAGGGCAGTGAAGGCCGGGGGACCGACGTTCATGAACAGACCAGGGCGATGCTCGCGGTGGGGAAGGCCTGCGGACATGAGGCGGCCGACCATGTGTGCGTACATGAGAACGGCGACGGACAGACCAAGACCTTGGCAAGTGAGGCCGGCAACGACGATGGGCACCGCCGCGATCTCGGGCTGGGTGTCGGCGATGACGGAGGCAATGGTACCAGTAAGCATGATGGGGAAGATGGGAAGAATCCATGTCGGCATCATGGTCTGAAGGCCAAAGTTGTGCCTGGCGAAGACGAAGCTGTACTGGCCGATGGCCAACATGAGCGTGACGATGAGATAACCCCAAAAGGCGACTTGGATGGCCCAGACGAGAGTCTCATCGTTCTCGGGGATGGCATATCGGTTCGTGCTGGTGATGAGCGTGGCGATGGACAGGAAGAAAGTCGGGAAGAAGAAGCCCTCACGCTCGTGGGTCAGGGACTTCTTCATGTCTCCGGGGTAGAGGAAGAATCTTGTCAACATGGCAGAGCAGACGAGGACGAAGAGGATGATGTTGATGACATAGACGACGGTACCGATTTGCCTCAGTCCGGGGAACTGATGCGGTTGTGCGAAGATCAGAAGAGCAAGACCTCCCGTGCTCATAGTGAGGGTGTACCACGCCCAGGTGAAGTGGTGGATACGTGCCTTCCAACCCAACCTCGGGCGGTTAGGGTCGTTGATGTCAATCATTCCGAGGCCGGGAACATCGCGAAGGTGGCTGTGGGCGGCGGCGTGAGGTGTTGTTCCCTTTTCCACGACGGGCGTGATGGATGTGTTGTAGCCGTCCTTCTCCGTCTCCTTGCCCTTCTTCTCGTCGACGAATCCGAGGTCTAGTGGTGCCAGCTTGGGTGAGTTTGGTCTGGAAGTCTGCCACTCTGCCGAGTTCTTGCGTGTCGACACCTCGGACTCAGTCCACGCCGAGTGTTGGGGATCTCTCCGATCCATTGTGGAAATCTGTTTTTTTTGGTTTTTGTTTTCGTGTTGTATGTGATGGTGTATATGCTCGCTGGTAGTGACCAATCGGAGCAGGAAACAGGCAAAGCACGTCGAATCTCGCAGAGAATAAGTCGTTCGCTCGCGTATGGGGTTGTTGAGTGAGTGTCGGTTTGTGGGTAAAGACCAAACAAGAGGAAACTGGGGAAAGATGGGGTATGAAGTTCTTGATATATGGAGGCGACGATGGTGAATGTTGTGAACCAAGAACCAAACAGAACTAAAAAAGGGGCACTTGCTGTCGCTGAACAAGGGGATTCCAGCTCCGGTGGATTGATGCTAAGATTGGAGGTCTTGGACCGGATGATATATCTCGAGAGACTGGAGAAAATGAGAGGGTGCGTAATGAGTCCGGTTCTTCAGACCAAGCCCTGGTTCTCAGAATAGATACAGACTGACTGATAAAACAGGGTATCAGTCCGGTGGAGACAGGTACGTGCAGTCAAGTCAAGGTGAGAGGCATCAGCAGTAGCAGCAAGAAGCAGGGGGGAGTGAAGAGAGAACAAAAATACACCAAAGTGTGTGTGTATGAGACAAGACAGTCCGGTAACTGGAGACTGGACGTATTTGGTTTCTGCCACCCTTGTTTGAGAAGTGGAGGTTGTATGGCAGAAGGGGAATGGATGTGTCTGCTGTCTCTGTCTCCTCCAGGTGTTTGTGAGGCTCACTGACCTTGGAACAACTGTGCGGTACGAGAGAGGGCACGTCTCAACACCAAATTTGGCTCGAAGTTAAGACGGGAGACCCGCAAGAGGGCGTGTACTGTAGGGTGTCTGTCCTATCCATGCCAAGGAAAGCAATATTGGGCTGTGAGAAAGGGTATGGACGAGCGACGAGGAAGATCCACAGATATGAAGATCCAAAGCGGGCGGCAATACCGCATCGCGGTAACATATGGTTACGTTGGCTTTGGTGGCCGAGTGTTAAGACATCCTGCATACCAAGGCCTAGCTTGATGCTGTGTGTGTATATGTGTAGTGTCGTGAGGGTGCAATGGGAAGTCGTGTAGTGAGGCTCTTTGCGAGAAACGTGGGCTGGCGTTTGGGTGAGTCGTGGTGGCGGCCGGCCGGCTCACGGGTTTCCAAGACGTACCCCCACGACCGACCATGCACAGGGTAACCCAGATGAGCGACGACCGTTCGCCAGAAGAGGAAGGATCTCAAGGCCAGGGGTTGGCTGTCGTGGGTCCGGCAAGACGGCGAGCAAGAGGATGGACAGGCTGGCGGTTGAAGGAGAGTTGTGGTGAAGGGCGCCTACCGTCGCCTGTCTCAGACCAGGGTCACAAATGCGGTAGCTGATGTACATTGATAGGAGGGAAGAACCTGTGGCCAGGGTCAAGGGGCAGGCCCATCGATGTGAAGTGATACAAGCCTCGAAGTATTTTGGGGCTTGAGGGGTACTCCTGGATCGTCACGGCTTGGGCAAAGACAGCAGTTCGGTCGCAGCCGTGCCAAGAATACAATGAGAGAGAGAAGCGTGCCAGGACGGGAGATGGACCAGGAGTGCGTATGAGATGCTCACAGAGGTAATGAGAAGCAGGTTGGGTCGGCCAATCGGGGGGCCGCCAGGACACCAAGGCCGCGAGTCCTCGCATGTAGGGACCGTGTGTCACACACACCCGCGGCTGGCTTGCTTCTTTGATTCATTCTTCAAGACTTCCTTATCTGAACAATGGTGGATGGGGGCCATCTCGGCGCCGATCACCCACGCACCGCACAGGAAATGGAGGTGACTATCATAGCTGCTGCTCTCTCTCTGCTGCTGCTGCTCCTGCTCCTGCTGCACCTATCCGTAGAGACTCGCAGACATAAAGACAGTCCAGGGGTACAGGGGTGGCTGGTAGGTTATGAATCGGGAAATATTAATAGCCCATGCATATGCCTGTTCAAAGCTCGCCTCAGGACGGGCTGGAACATCACGTCTTTGGCAGATACCAGACGACATATTCGTAATTAGTAGGTAGCAGAATACATCATCAACTGTGGTAAGGAACAGCAAGATGGAAAGTATACGTATCCGATCTCAGATTTCGTGGCGCCCATCAGAGACATTCAGGTAGGACACGCACCGTGACGCACGTCAGAGTCCAAGGGGGCGTCTGCGCACGCGCGGCGCGCTTCTTTCGTTGCGGTCCGCCCTTCCCTTTCCCTTCCCTCCCTCCCGCGCCGCCGTCGCCGCCACCACGGGAGGATGATGCTGGCAGCTGCAGAGCAACGCTTGAAGCAGCACTGCAGCATGCAGCAAGCATCAAGCACAGCTCGAGTTGTGAAGGGCAGATAAGTGTGTTCCTCACGGGGGACCCCCGGCTGTCTGAGTCGGGACATTCGTTTCACGATCTGAGCTCTGGCCGCCAAGAGATGGGAGGACCCGCCTCTTGGACCTCGAAACACGTTACTGGGTGTTGATGAGAGAAGAGCCATGATGGGATTCGCATGCAGAGCCTTTTTCTTTCCAAATTCCAGTGCATTGCAAATTTGTCCCTCAGCTGGCTTTACCCTGTTTGCTGACTGACTATTGCTGTTGCTGACCGCCGCATGGACTTGTGAGAATGGAGACAGAAAAAAGCCAAGCCGGCCTCAACAATATTGGACTCCTGCCAGCTCGTGTCTATCGTCTTGGCCACAGTTCGCGCACTGAACAGGAGAAGCGTTCGTAATGAATTGCTGCGCATCTTTGCCAAGACCGGCTCTAGCTTGACATTTCGAACAATTGTCCCCGTATGTCGTGATGAGACTGAAGGAATGCTCCGTATGGTTCATCTGCAAACATCGCCCTGCCACAATATGTTCAGTGTCACCACCGGTCGAGACGTTAGCGGCCTACGCCTCACTTAGATGACGGGCGCGAGTCACCCAGATCATAGATGGCCCATCGCCCAAAACGCCTCAACCTTAACCAAACACTCGAGAATCCACCCCCACTTGCAATGGACACGAAAATGTGTCGGGACCGAAGAAGAGCCTCGACACAGAACGTCTACTGCAGCAGAAGGGCCGCCGGGGGTTGCAGTGAAGGGGATCCTCTGGCGTAGAGCCCGGATTCTTCCCTCTCCAGTGTTTAGTGTATTTTCGGCGGCAGCGCAAGTCTGACGGGATTCAGGAGACGGAACCCACCCGGGCGAAACACCGCTCTGGCCGGACATGTGAAGAAGGCGACCAGGGATCAGGTTCGGGACTCAAGGGGGCGAAGAGATAAGCGTCGAACAGCCAACGGTGACACTTGACGGGGATGGTCAGTAACAATTCCCTTCTCTCGATTCCCATACCCAAGAGTCAAGACTCAGACTTCACCAACATGACCCCTGAAAAATTCGCCGTACCTGTCCCGTTGTCGGACCTGCGGTTGTCCCACCCGTCCAAATTAATATAGAAGTCAAAAAAGAGGGCCGCCCGTCCCGTTGCCCTCCCAGATTGCCCCTTTCAGGCGCCCTCCCTGGCCAGAAGTCTCACACCTCATGCCCCCGGGGGCCCTGGACTTTCGGGTCTTGGAGGCTTCATGGGTGGCTGGCCCTCGTCGATTCGGAGGTTGTAGAATTCTTGACAGCTTGGACGATGACGAAGATGGGCAAAGAGAGAGATGACTTGTCACGGAAGATTTCTGCTGATGGTTCTCCGCCTCTTGATCGACGTCTTGGATGCCCAAAGAGCCGTGCCGTTCGAGCCTAAAGTGACAGTGATGACAATTCATTGTTCAATGCCCACCACGCCTACGGATGTTAGTGACAACGAGCAGTGGACAGTGGTGAGCGACAAAACCACACACAGACAGCCGCCACAAAACGTGATCCTACATGTCTTGGCCCCTTGGCCATCCATCCATCAGACTGAGCAGGAAGAGGGTGTGCATATGTGCAACCGCAAATCATAGCTGGCTTATTTCTAGACCACAGAGTCTCTCAAAAGTGCTCGGTCGAATTCCCGTTCGCTCTGTGTGCGAGGCTTGAACAGAATACCACCACACGATGCCGGATAGGAGCATCTCACAAACACTTGAGCAATTCGGACGAATGCTGGCGGCCCTGCATACTAAAGCGGTAGAGAGCTGTACGAAGCACGCTATGAGAGATGCTAAACGTACAAAACCCCTAGAGCCGCCGGTTTCTATTCTCGTGAACTCTTGGCTCTTGTTTCTTCTTTGGTGTCCACAATCCGATGAGAGCCCGCGTCGCGTCTTGTTTTTCTCATGTTTGTTCGCGAGCGAAGCCTTGGTGATGCAACTCATCTCTTCGAACAGTGTGAGCAACTTGGCGTTCTAGCACCATTGGTTGCTCCACACCAACAGAGAAGCAGTGGCGGTGTTTCTCCATGAAGCAATTGATTGTGCACCGCAACCCAATGAAGCTCTCAAAGCAAAAAGTGTATGGAACGCCAAGATGATGCATCACGAACGGGATATCGCCAATAGAGGCAAGTCAAGAGCACATACGTGGTATCTCTCTAAGGCAAAGCCGAGTGCAACAACCCAAACACCCTGTCCATGTGATCTCATTCAGCACATTTCGACGTTCCTCGCTTGCTGACTTGGCTTTCAATAGGGCGCCGGTGGGTTTGCACATCTGCATCTGCATCAACCCGTTCCAGTAGCTTTGTCTTCTTGCTCAATCTCTTGGCCAGATTGGGTGACATGATCTACCAAAACGCCCAGCGCCAAGTAGGAAAATCCCCATCTTCTGCCTCTCTCCCTAGCCCACATCGCGCTTCAGTCGCGGTCCACAATCGGTCAACGGAGTCCAAGACGGCCTTGTCTTCCTGTCTTACTGTTGTAATGCAGCCCAGCCAGCCAGCGCGCAGGACGATCACATCTACACTACGACTGCGACACCGCCGCCGCATCGCCAAGGCGTACCTCGAAACGTCCGGCTCAACGCCCGCGGTGCGACGATAAGCATTGCCCGGCTGCATCCACTGCCGTGTTAGCAGCATTGGCAATGCACCGCCGCATCATAGAAGAGGGTCCATGTCGATGATAAGAGTGACGGACTCATCAACTATTACCTTCCCGCCGTGGCAGTGGACACTACCTCTTGGCGAGAGCCTCACTTGCCAAGTTTACCACCCACTCAACCAGGACCTTGAGAGGCTTGTTAGGTGGTGTGCATTTGTAAAAGGCTACCAGAGGGAAACAAGCAGAAACACCAAGCGGTGACTATCGCATCGCACGGCCTGCCTCGATGCACCGCCCTCTCATATCTCCATATCTCAGTGGTGAGCATCACCGCCAAGTGAATGTTGACGCGTCGGGCCTCCATCCGCACCACTTTCTCCCTTTGGAGACGAAATTCGTCCGTCCAGTCCGGCCACCGAAAACTAGTCGTTGCATCGTCAACGACGATGCTCTTTGAATCGCCCATCAGCCTACCATCAACATTATTCACCATCCTGGCAACCTGGGACATCTGCTGTATCTACACCGTGACATCCCCTGTGGAGCGTTCTATTGATGGAGTCTTCTTGGCAGTATTGGAACTTGTCGGTAGTCCAAGCAAGTCCAAGAACCAAGACATGCAAAGTTGCAGATCATCCGGCGCCCGTACGTAGAAATTGAAATTGCTCAAAATTTCACATCGTTGTGAATCCGTACGCTAGCTAGCCCACGGAACCTGACCTTGTCACCGCGGACTACCGGCTCCTGTTCGCGCACGCTAGCCTAGGGCCAAGGTGACCGTTTTGATTATTCCTTTTGTTTTCTGCTTCCGCTTCATATCGTTTCTCGACGTAGGGTACGCTATTTGGAGCATCGCCTTTCCATGATCAAAGCAACCAAAGATCATGTCCAACCACCTCAGTCCAAGCAAACCCCGGCCAACGAAGGAACGCAGTCCCCAATTTTCTCTCTTTACAAAACTTGTTGAAAATTCAGTGAAGCATTGAACCGCCGACCTCGAGACCGAAAATTTTGTGGCGCCTCCGTAAAGCCCCGATGCGGCCGGCAAGTCTCCCATGTCCGGGTCACCGTGCTGTGTTCCTGAAGACTAGGACCAGGTTGCTGACGTTCTGGTGCAATATCTCGCAACCATGTGAAAGTGGTCGGGTTTGGGCGTGTTCCATGTCGTTATCAATCAACATCGATGCCCGACAAAACCCATGAACCCCCCTGGGCCCTGACTCAACAAACAGTTTCTCTACCATCCTTCCATGTCGGATGTACCGTGTTCTCCCTCTCTTGCTGCTCCGTGCACGGAACCCGACTGGACGGGTCTGGCCCGGCGTATCTTCCGGCGGGCTACCTCCGGCGGCGCCCAACGAAAATACGGCCGGACCACCGTCGACGAGTCGTGCAGCGAAGCCAAGGTGCAGGGGCGAAGAGGGTTCGCGGCCCTGAATCTCAAAAAGCAATATAGAATAAGCTTCATTCCTTTCGGTCTGATATTTTTTAACACCCTTCGATTAATCTATCCTAATCGCCGCCGGCTGACATGGCAATCTATCGCCATGCTACACATTCAACCACTCAAGAACGTGAGTGTACGTTGAAAATTCTGCAATGCAACCACCATCGGCAGGGCCGTATATGGAAGCTAGGGAGCTCCCGCACCTCTATGGACGAATACGGCAAGTCATCGCCAGAGTCTTGGCTCGAGAAGAGGTCTGCCATGGTATCAGATAGATAATCGTCTGCCCATCGCAATTGAATACATCACGTCTTTGTGCCCCGGCTTTCTAAGGATACAATACGCAGAACAGGCATCGAAATAGCGAGTTTATCGATGCGGCATTTCTATCGCCAATAAAAGGAGATGAGATAGGTGCTCTCCATAACCGGAGACATATGCAGTGCCCCAGTCTACTGTTGATGTAGTCATCAAGCAGCAGGTGCCAAGACCAGAAACTGCAGACATTGGCCATTCTCGGTAAAGGGAATAGTCTATCTACGACGTCCATCTCTCTAGTGTCCCAAATTTTCACAAGAAGTGATCACTTACAGCTTCATTGGTAGAAATTGAATGTTTCAATGCCGGGCCTATCGTGGGCGAATTTGAATCTAGATAGGTGCATGTGGCAAAGACCAAAGACTGCTAGACAAGATATTGCGTACTTGTCTAGGCCCGCGCTGAAAGCCCTATCTCTCCATTGAATAAGAATAGAAACATCAAAAACTTGCTCCATACGACGGGGCTGGCAGCGCCCCGTAATCCCGTGCCCTCGACAGTTACGAAACGATGACCCCTGGGACCGGCCTGTCTCAAGGAGTTGAACAACGCAGACACTAACACCCGGTATCCACAATCAAAGAGCCCCTCGACTCGAGGTATCCGTACACCTAACGCGGATATATTGCTGTCTAGAACAGTTCCACCTATTGGTGTTTCCGCGAACCTCTGAACTGTAAGAGTTTCACTTCTGGGTTATTATTGGCTCTCTACTTCGCTTGCCAGGCTGCTAGCTAGATAAGCTAATGTGAGCTGCAAAGTCAGCAGCCGCCCATGGCAGCCTATCACGAGCACCGAAATTTCAACGACATCGATGATCGGCCTCCTATTTGTGTTGGTGTTTGTGACCTCAACGGTCGCAGCTATTTCAAGACAACCAGATATAACTTGTTCAAACTTCAAAGGCGTCACTGATACCAAGGCTCGTAGACGATCCGAGAATCTTACGAATATTTCACGGAGCAGGCTTTACTTCTTCTTCGTACTTTGTGCAAGTTATTTACACTCATTGATACAGTCGGTCAGTGGTTTGGTCGATCTTTCGAGCAATAACCCTCTCTTGTTAAGCTCGTGCGATCTTGCATCGATTAAATCGAAGTTATAAACGTGTAGCTCGGAATGTTCATGGCTTTCAGAGCCTAGAGTAACCCATACAAATCTACAATGCACCCCAAAAATGGAGAC